TCAGAAAGTTGAAAAAAAACATGTCATAATTGCTTTTGTTATTTAATGTACAAATGTACCATTTTGTAGCTTTATGTATACAATTTACAATTCATTATCATTCAATAGAAGCGTGTTATGTGTCACGTTTAATTTCATAAATTTACTTTTAACTTATACACATAATCTCCCTTTTTTTATCTATAAAATTCTATAGGCAACCCTCCAAAAATTCTTTCCTCCCTTTAGAGACATGCGAAGAAACATTTTATCATTTATAATTTTAATCAATTAAAATTTAATCGTACTTCTCCACGATAAGATTTAAATTTTAATGGCGTGTTTTAAATCTTAAATTAATCCTTTTTTTACTGTAGATTTATAGTTATATTACCAGAGAATTGTAAAAAATTGATTACAAATTATATTAAATGTTACACATATTTTAATAAAATAAATAGTGTCCTTATATATATATATAAATTCTCTTAAAATTATTGTTAAAATGCTGTATACACGACCTGCTATTTATTTTTATTGCTAACTTAACGTACAAAAAGAAGATATTTATAGAGATTTTAAAGTGTTTATATGTTAAAAATTATTTTAAATTAATTTTTTAGTAGAATAAATACGATTTCAATGGCACATAAATATACAGATTCGTCCTTGACAATGACATAGTATGGCTCCAGCAAGACCTTTTCATCTTTAAAGATAATCTTTAATAATTAATTATAATTAAACTTTATCGAATTAATTAATTTGATTGTACAAAAAAAANATTCAATTTTAGGGGCGCGAGTTGGGTTTTTCCTCATTGCTATGGATCATTAAAGAGAAGCTACTGTATTTAAGAAAAATCCAACAACCGGAGGGGGAGGGAATCGGGATTATGATGTTGCAAATTAAGTTTCACGTGAGTTTATTGATGTAAATTCTCATCTTCTCATCCTATCCCCTTCGCGACGTAACTTAAACATATTATTTTCGTATCTAGACACTTTTATTAACGTCACCGCTGCAGCGGTTGCTACCGATCACACCACTCGTATGTTCTGGGTAACAAAATACTATACACACGCACACACATACAGACTAGAATAGCACGACGTGACGACAATCTACCAATAATATAATCGCTTAAAAATTTAATTTTTTTTCCAAAAAAAAAAAACAATGATTAGCGGACAAAGATGGCGCATGGCTTCAATTTTGCTTAGTGTAAATGACATTATCGCCATTTTAAAAAATAAAAAAGTAAATTAGAAGTTCTTTTATAATCTTATTCGAGTGGTGATGAATAAATCGCTCGATTTTTTTTATAAAATAATTATTTACTGTTAGGAATTAGCTATTAAAGCTAAGAACATAATCCTCCATTCACTACCCTCTTTATAGCCTCTTCGATAGAAACATTATAGGGCAAAGTCGTGCTGTAGCTTTAGAAGGTTTTTCCTGTTTCTGTAAGCGTGGGGACGGAAAATTTTGCGAAATAAAATTTAATCCGCTCGATTTTTTACTGTCGTCTGTGCCCTTATATATATATATATAAATTCACTTTGAATTTTCTATTATAATTTTATATAGGTCTAAAGTTTAAATTATAGTTTTAAAAGAAAACAATTGAATTTTTTTGAAAGAAAAAAGAAAACTTTCAAGGTTATAATACATTTTAGTCTTATTATTTTAGAAGGTAATTAATTCATTATTATTATTATTATTATTAAAAATCTAATGTAGTAGCTTACAACAAGCATTAAACACTTCTTGTTCTTATCTAGATTATTGGGACAGTTTGAGTGCTAAACAAACACTATTTGCGCCCCACATTATGTAAGACAAATTAATAATGAAAAATATGGGATGAATGGCGTAATTTTAGAATGTAAAATCAAGACGATTCCAGCTCTTTATTCATTTTTATAATTATTTTCTTAGGGATTAATGAGGTTTGTTTATTTAGTACGTAATGTTTTATTATGTAGAATGTGTAATATGTAATTTAGAAATATATATATATTTGTAAAATTTGATGTGTAAATAAGCAAGAAATTCCACTTTAAAAAAAATTCTAATGTCTGTAATTGTTAATCTTTTAAAAATTAATAATTAAAAATTTCAAGCACGAAAGTCAATTAAATAAATAAATAAATTCGTAAAAATATTATTGTATAAAATTTTATAACTTTTGAAACTCGTTAATTAATTTATTTAAAAAAAAAAACTTAAATACTTTCAACGTGACCCAAAGAAATTTACATTTCCTTCACAAACCACGTGTCGAAATAATAGAGAAAATAGGGCATTTATATGATGAAGGGTTACCTTTTTTTTTATATACCTATTTTATTTATTTACATATTTATCGCTTATTATTCATACGTGGGAAAATTAAAAAGTTTAAAATAGAATTAATAACAAGCGAGGTTGAGGATCTCTTGGATAATATTTAAAAACATAGAGAGAAAGTTCATAGATATAATTTATATTAAATAGTTAATTTGAAAATAAATAAAAAAATTTATTGTTTTAAAAAGTAATAATATTTTTTCCTAATCTAAAACATTAACGTTTTTTTCTAATATTGAAAATAGAATATGGGTCGTTAACCGTTATTTTTGTATTTTATGATATATGACCTAAATTATAAAATCACTTTTATATTGGTTCGATATATTTTTTTATGTTCGATGAAGAGTGAAAAAAATACTGAATAAATAAATATTTTATACAATTCTAAACTGAAAAAAGTAATAAATTTACATAAAAAAAGGCCGAGATGATCGAGTGTTAAACGGATCTTTTAGGAAATATTATGTGCAAAGATAAAAAATGAAGTAAGGTCAAGTAAAGTAAGGTGGGTAGTAGTCGAACAGTAACTTATTTTATAAGGCAAGAAACTCTGGAAATAAATATGGAAAACTAACAGGAAACGATGTAGATAAGATCTAAGCCTTAACTGGAATATTCTCAAAGCATATTTAGTAAATAATAATAAAAAAAAAAACAATGTTGGAACACGTTTTCGAATGATCTTGAACCGATCTGGAAAAGACAATTCTTCGTTTAGTAATGGAGATTGTTCTTGCAGCTATGAACTTCCTCATACATCTCGAATGCCTTAATAAGGAAAAATTATAATAAAATAAATGTAATTAAATATGTTTAACAATTAAATTTTCGTTCGTTTTTCACTCGATACAGCTTGGTTTAAGGGAAACGGCAATAAAAATTAGGAAGAAAATGAAAATTTGCAAATCAATGTACGAACAATGGCAATATAAATTAAACAGATGCGGCATAACTCCAAGGACGATAGCATTTTTTCCTTTAAAACATTTACCCAAATAACTCTACTTCTAACAACACAGTTATACAATAAAACATTTATAATTTTTTAAACTTTTAATCTTGTTTAATAATATATTCACGAGTCATCTTGCGTAATAACTTTCGTGTAACTCTTAAAGTACGTCATCGCTTGTGACGTCTAGTGACGTCATTGGTGAGTATATTATTATTAATTTTAAGTACTCTTCGTTAATCAAATAATAAAATGTACTTTTAAACATTACTTTTAAACTATATTTTTATTGATGTAAGTGAATTAAATATTTAGCCTTAATCTTTACTTATGCGTACTTAATAATAGCAAAATACCCTCCTAATTCGGTTTTAAAGAATTTTAATTGTAATATTTAATGCATTTAAATAATATAAATTTGTTTTTATTTTTATTTTTAAAAATAAAACTGTTCGCAGCTGTTTGTACTGATGCTAGGATGAAAATAGGCATGCCAAAGACTGAAGTGTTGGCACTTTCAAGAAATCCTTTTCAATGTAATTCCGAGTTAAATGGAGTTACGTTGAGGCAGATAAAGAAGTTTAAATATTTAGGGATTGCATTCACGAGTGTTGAAAAGCGAGAACGTAGAAATAGATACCCGAATTGGTCGAGAAAGGGCCACACTACAGGAACTGAACCAATCAGTAACGCTGAAAAAGAGCTAAAGAAGAAGACAAAGCTGTCAATCTTCTGTTCAGTGTATGTCTCAATCTCCACTTATGGGCATGAATGTTGGATAATGACCGAAAAAGTGGGTGATTCCGAATACAGGGAGCAGGGATGAAATTTCTCTGGGTGTCAGTTGCTGGATGTTAAGAGAGTTGTCAACACCAGCATGAAAGTTGAATGTTATGTTTCCAACTGTTCGATTCATTTTTTCATTGATATATCACAATTAATTCGAACATAGGTAGACGAATTTGTGAAAAGAGTATTGTTTTTCCTATTCCAATAAACCCAGACAGCGTGGAAGGAACGAGGACCAGATCGAAGCCATTGGGAGACTCTATGGGACTGCTGCTAATGCAACACCCACATTAAAAGTGACTAAATAAATACATTTTTTTTAATTTTAAAAAGCAGTAATTTAGTCTTTGTAAAAACTTGTATTTAGAACAATTTAAAAACCGAAAATGCCTAAATAATTACAGTTTAAAAAATATTTTAAAAACATATATATATGTTCTAATCATTAAATATATTNTAAGTGACTCGTATAACATGGAATTCATATAAAACGGAATTATCAACAGTATTATGGGGGGTCGACTGTACTTTGTTAAATCTCTATTAATTTGTTTCATAATAGTGAAATTCACCAATACAGTAGTAATATTTTATTGTAATATAGAATTTCTACGTCACAATTATTTTATATCGTCGTGATATAATCTTGTACGTCATAATGACAAACGAAATTAGCTCGATATCAGTGTGACGTAACAGTACTACATCGCAATGCATCAGAAACCGATACATTTTAATATTTTACGTTTATAAATAAATACAGATCTATTGTTTTATTATTTATATATAAATTTTGAAACGAAAATTTATATCAATTTAAAATTATTTTTAAAAATAATATACATGTATTTTAAAATATACATATATTAAGTTTTATAACAATTTAAAAACCGAAAATGCCTAAATTATTACAGTTTAAAAAATATTTTAAAAACATATACATATATATATGTTCTAATCATTAAATATATTAAAAATCGAAAATATTAACTAGGCTATCTATTTACTGTCTTGGTGTAGGTGTGAACACAATTTCCCAACTGGATATTTCAACTGTTTATTATTCAAATACTTAATCACGGAGGTTGTCAACCTGTTTCAGATTAATCAAAAAAGAAAAAAAAACATTATTAGTTTATTGTTTTAGCAATAAACATAAATTAATTTTATATTTATAGTTAACGAAAATTAAAAGCATTACAAAAAAAACAATCCATAATAATATTTTTAAATTTATTAATTTAATTCAAAATGGAAATATCTGTTATACCAGTTTTATCCCATTTAAATAAATAAATATTTGTTTATTTATTTGGAGTAAGGTACTGTACATAATGCAATAAAACTGATTGCTTCGGTATGATTTAATACACCATAAGCACCCCTAGATACACCCCTGATATAGTGAATGATTTACTAAGTCCTTTAAGAGTTCACCCTATAGAGAGTCCACTTTACATGTGTATATATCTAATACATTACACGGGTATGCAGGGTGCAGCTGAACCTCTTCTGGGAGTTTTACCGAAGTAATACCAGGTAGCTCCAGTTGTAAAAAGTTTTGTAAGGCATATTGTTTTCTTTCTGCAACCCCTCTAAAGATTTCTGTACTCCTTAATGTATATAAATAAATATGTAAATGTAAATTAAGTATTTATATTAATATTTAATAAGTTATTTAATTAAAAATAATAATATTAACATTAAAGTCTTACATTTATATAAGAAAAATTGATTTAAATGTTATAAAAATCTCAATTAAGAAACAAGTCAAGTTGCTGAAATATTTTTTTGCAATTTTATGTATTTATAATTACATCCTAATGAATTATATTTTATTTTGAAAAAAAAATTTGTAAAGTTTATGCAATTATTTTGTTTATTTTGTTTTTTAACTGTTATATTTTATGATAAATGTAACAATATATTGTAGATAAACAGCTTCACAAACTGAATGAAGTATGCATTACAAATCTACAAATTGTAGTTGTTAAGAAATAAAAATATTTTAGATATTTATGATGTATTAAACTAATAAAATATGTTTGCATCACTCTGTTAAGCTACTATTTATCATATGTATAGAATATAACAGGGATATACCTTCAACAAATATTAATTAAAATTTAATTTTCATATTTAAATTACATAAAGTTAAACTTTAAAAATGAAAAGAAAATTATTTAATTAAATTAAAACTTCATTTAATTCATATCAAATCAGGATTTTTATTAACAAATTTCACTAAATGCACTAAATATTTTCCATTAAGTAGCATTATAAATTATAGTGTATTATTATTATTATTATTTAAACAGTAAACCTTTGTTATAAAATGACTTGAAGTATAAATTGACTCATTCATAATTACCATTTACCCCAGTTTAATCATTATGGATAGAAAAATCTACTTTATTTGCCTTTTATCCAGAAAATTATATCTACAATTGATCTTTATCTATAAAAATTAATGAAATATAAGTAAAAACAAATAAAAAGTAATTATATTTATTTTACAAAAATATCTTTAAATAAATCAACTTGTTGGTTAAGTTTAAAATCCAGTTATTAAATGTGTTTAAATTATTTTAAAATTAAACTAAAAATAAGAAGAAATTTAAAATAAATTATATAATTATATTCAAAATAAGCTTGTTTTATATATTTAAAAAGTATTAAATTAAATAAATATAGATAAAATAATAATAATAATAATAATACATTTATTATACACATTTATATATATGGTCCTTGATTATATTTAAAAAGAAATAATAAAACTTTAATTTCTCTATAAATATGACGATTAAAATCACAATAAATTTATTTTTATCAATCATAAAAATCGCTTAAAATAAAATAATAATTTTATATTATCAATAAAATAAAATTGAAAAGGAAACAAAACTTCATCAAACTTGTAAATCATGATTAATTTTAAATATTACCAGGAATTTTATTTATTTATAAATAAAATAAATGTAGCATTACAGATAAAAGAATATTTTCAAATTTATAAACATTTTATAGCATTAAAATAAAAAAAGTAAAAATAAAAACTAAGAAATATATCTTTATATATATATATATATA